GAGGAAGGGATCGTTAAATCCTCAAGGATCTAATGGATGGACTAATGTAGTGTCAGAGTAGTGATTTCACTATTCATTTTTTATCATGTTTGAAAAACTGTGTTAAACATTTGTTAAAGGTTTGCCTTTTATAGACTGTCCATTTGTTTAGGGCAGAGCTTTCCAAACTTAAGAATCTCCTGTCTGACAGGATACTTTTCTATGTACAAGGCAAACATTAGACTCGGTTCACACCATATACCCCCGTCAGCTTACTTGGCAAAAAATGGTGCAAGAAGATGTCTTTTTTATTTATTTATTTATTTATTAATTCATTCATTCATTTATATCATAAATAATGAAGATTTGTTTAATTAATACTTCTGATGTCATGGAACTGGCAGCCCTCGTGTAGAAATTGTTGTTAATGTATGAATTTGATTTACCTCAGTGGGTTTTAAGGTTTGACCCATTTTAAATTTGTCTAGTGCATGCAGTTTGTTACGTACTTTCTCATCCTAAATGTCTTCTGGGGACTCTACCTCCATGAAATAGACCCAGGGATCTTTTTAGTCTGGAAGGAGAGCAGGACGGCTTAGAGTAATTTGAATAAATGTCACTTTTCCGTACAGACCATCGGACCTCTTGTAGGTCTATTTACTTCATGATATAGACATGGACTACTAAACCTGTGAATCTTTAGTTCACGATCACTTTCTTATACATCAGGATGTATTTTCAAGGATTAGTGAAAGTGCTTCGCAACTGTAGTAGATACCTAATAAATGGACAAAGTTTCCAAAGTTGTTGATTTCTCCTGGTTGATTTTTGAATATTCATACTGGTTACACTTTGTTTTTCCAGAGAGAATATTTGAGGACCATGAGAACCTGGTTGAGAACTTGCTGAACTGGACCAGGGACAGCACCAACAGACTGATGTTCATCGAACGCATTGAGAAATATGCACTGTTCAAGAACCCTCAGGTAGAACTACATCTGTCTGTTATAGCAGCAATAGCAGCAAAAATTATATAGCAGCAAAAAATGGTTCCCTACAACTTCTGAACTACATTTTAATTCTTCTAAAACTTACAATAGCATTGTTAAATACTGTATACACGTAAGATTTTTTTTAAAGAGTTAAGATTTTTTTTAATGTTTTTGAAAAGTAGTATCTTAAGCTCACAAAGGCTGCATTTATTTAATTAAAAATACATCAGAAACAGTAATTTTGAGAAATATTACAATAAAAATAAACTTTTATTTGAATATATTCTAAAATGTTTTTTTTTTTTTTTGTTCCTGTGATGGCAAAGCTGAATTTTTAGTCTTCATGTCTTCGTGTCATGTTATCAATGATGAAAACATTTGGCTGCTTAAATTTTTTTTTTGTAAACCATGGATTTTTTTGGTGAATTTTAAATATAAATCTTTTGTAATATTATAAATGTCTATTGTGTATATATATATATATATATATATATATATATATATAT